TAAATGTATACATGTATACTGAAGCAAATAAAATATGCCAATATGGATATAAAGGTTTGATTGCTTATTCTTCATTATATGTATAGAAGATTCTGGAATATTTACCACACTGTAATGATAATTTTATGAGTTTGTACTAGCCAGACCTCATAAATTTTTCATTTCACATGCTGAATACTATCATTTAGTAAAAAAAAGTAGTATTTCGAAAAAAAATAAAAATGGATCGTCCTGGAATCGAACCCGCGCCCTCTCACATGTGAAGCGAGAGACATACCACTAAACCACGGAGCCGCTTCAATCTGGGAAAAATTATATGCAAACATGAAGTCACATACATGTATATATATTCCCGTTCGATATTGTCAAAATTTTACACAATGCATGGTGTCTAATTATTTAACCTTTATTAAACAGTTCTAATAGATTTAATAAGAATGTAAAGTCCACCGAGAACCTGTTTTAAACGTAATAACTCTCCTCATGCCCCTGTGCTAAAAAGAGCGACATGTAATACAATAAATACTAATAAAACAAACGGGGCGGGGCACTTTGAGAGGGGTGAGAGAAGTCCTAGGGATTTTTGGTATAAAATTACATTGCAAAAGCTCAAAATCTTCTTGAAACATCGCCCGGAAATGATAGTGTTTCATACAGACAAAATGTATAAATTTACGACCTTGAACTTTGACCTTTTGACCTCAAAATCAAAAGGGTCTTCCTTAGGGCACAGGGAGTTGTTATATAAAATTTCATTGCAAAAGCTCAAAGGGTTCTCGAGATATGGCGCGGAAACGAAAGTGTTATAACAGACAGAATATGCGAATTTTTTACCTTGATCTTTGACCTTTTGACCTCAAAATCAACAGGGTTCTTCTTTAGTCCATAGGGAGTTGTTATGCAAAATTTCATTGCGAAAGCTCAAAGGGTTCTCGAGATATCGTGTGGAAACGAAAGCGTTACAGACAGAAAGACGGACGGACGGACGGACAGACCCAAATTAATATCCCCCACTTTTCAAGCGGGGGACAACAATATGTCATAAGTAGAATATTTTATTTCATATAAAAGATCTCTTCATGTTCAAGAAAATTTTCAATTAAGCCATTTGTATGCAGGTATATGATAAATAATCTATCAATATAATTAAAAGTACAGACTTATTATTGGAAATACTATGACGAAAAAGTATTTATGGTTTGACTTAATGCACTGGTCTCAAACATATAAAAGATACATGTAAGGCCTTGAGGTACGCAATGATATTGCACAAATACGGCACAATTTGTCCTTATCTGTTTGAAATCTAGATTTCTCTGTACTTAAACACACATTATATGTAACTGTACAGGACTGCCTATTTATACAGTTCCTTACTTGACACGAATATTGAAGCCTGTGAAAATGACAACTCATGGATTTTTCTTTATTCTGTGTATTCTTTTACCATTTCTGCATGTCCAAGGTAACATTGACCAAAACTGGATGGAAGGAATTGAAATCCGATTGCATGAATTAGAAGAATCCAACAAGAAACTAAAGAAAGAAAACTCCAATCTCAAAGGAGAAATTAAAGAAATAAAAGGACTGCTGAAGAAAATTCAACAGGAAAATATTGCCTTAAAGTTGAATTCCAGTGTTCCAAAAATAACGCCAGAAACTGGTGATTTGAACATTCGAAATCACCCATCTCCCTCTGAACAAGTTCAAAGCAGTGAAAACAGTAGAATGGAGGAAACCAAATGGAATCGGACAATGAAGACTGAAAATAGAATAAAGCATACACTCATGGTCGAAACTAGTAAAAATGTTGTGCCTAGAATCAGTATGTATACAAGTAATTTTGGTTTTATAAATATATCATTTTGGTACAAATAATTAATTATGTCTACATCTACTTAATATAATGCCATTTATTCCTTATGAAAACCACTCTGTTAATCAATCAGAAAACGTTGCTAAACAAACAACCTGTATAGATTTATAGCATTTATACTTGACCAGCGCCTGCTCCATCAACGAATAATAAGCATAATTAATTTCAGAGATACAACACATGTATTTATCTACTTCATCCTATATTTTATGATTATTTATACAGATATAAAGATAAAAAATAAATTTCTTTCCTTAATTTGTACAGAAAAGATTTCAGTTATTGCAGAATAAATCACTAACCCGCTCAGGCGGGTTTTGTACTTTTCTCTGCAACAGCTGCAATATCAAATTCTACACTAACAATCACCTTTTACGATAGCAGAGTACTGGAACATTTTTTGTAATTTTTAAATATGTTTCAGTTCCTCCAACATCAATTTCGGCAACACAGTCTGTCGCATTCTATGCTTATATGAATGCTAATTTCCTACCCTGCCCACATGACCCTTACATTCGACACAGTCATAATCAACGAGGGAAATGGATATAGTAAACACGATGGAGTTTTCATTGTGCCCGTAACGGGGATCTATGCATTTCATTGGTCATTGAAAGTTCTACAACATTCATGGACAAGTGTTGAAATAGTTGTAAATGGACGTTCGATTGGATGCGCATCGTCTGACACATTACGAATTGATGACTTCGGCACCGGAAGTGAGTTGGTCGTCACTCACGCTAATGCAGGTGATCATGTATTCCTGCGCACACAGGAAGCTGTTAACGGGTCTATTTTCAGTAGCTACCGTGCACGTTCATCATTCTCTGGATGGCTTATGTATTCATAATTTACTTGTTATATCAAGAAATAAAAATTTAATTGCTCCATAGGTATTTTATTTCTTATAAAAAGAACATCTTGAGGACACAGCAATAGATTACTGTAAAAGCAAATCATGTAAAGTTTGATTTGAGAGACTACTTTAAAAAAGTACCCGTCATTTTTAAAAGAAATTATGATCTTCAATAATATTTGATTATTTGATATTTATATTATGATCTTATAAAAGAAACAGAGAAGGGAGGTTCTTGATATTTGGAGTAATTTGACATCTGAATTAATAATTGTAGCTCAAAAGCCAATATATTGTGGTTAAAGTTATATATGTAAGACATGTGTGTTTAATATCTCAAAAAATGTGATTTTCTAAAATATTAACAAGGATAAATGTCAATTTGTTATTTTAGACTTAAAGATTTTTTAAAACTCAACAAATTATGTCCGAAATACTGTAAAGTAAGACAATGTACAAGTACATTTACTTTTATCTTACTTTAATTGAAAATACACACAGTTATAAAATAATTATCAAGTAACTGAATCAAAAGTGGTTCCGTCTTAAAGTCAATTAATACACGTATGTCATACAAGTCCCTCAATTTATTTATTGTATGCACAGTCAAAAATATTGAGTCTCCTAATTATCAAACATTTTAAAATGAACTGTGAATGAAATGAAGATATCAACATGATCTTTCTAGTTTTATTTCTAATAATCAATCTTTTAGTCATTTTTTTTATATTCCCTTTATATTACAAGCGTACAATCCTTTTACGATTCCTGTTCTCTCCAAACTTCGTATAAACAATAGCTTCGTTAATGTTAAGGTTAAGCAAATGGCATTTGTGTACCGAAGGTATATAGTTTCTGCTAATTTTCAAAATGAAATTCAATATTTGCCAGGGAACACCTTCTTTGTACTAAGCTGGTCTGGGGCCATTAAACTTAATAAAGCAGCAAAAGCTCACTTTGATCTCATCTCACTTTTCCACTATATACTGTAAACCAACGTTTATTCGCGTCTGAGAAGTTTTTGCGGAGTTCACGAGAGCCTCGTTATCGCGAATATTTCTCCCGCGAACCGGTCCTTAAAGTGTTTGTGTCTATTAACAACAAGACTTGATCGCAAAAGTTAATCTTGGCGAACTAATTTATCCCTGGTTAATTGCGAAATAAAGTCGTCGCAAATAAAAGTTGGTTAACAGTATTTCTTTAGTAAAAGTGAGACTGAGATCAAAAGTGAGCTCCTCTAAGTTTAGTGGCCTCAGGCCTAGTTTACAAAATTTAAGATCAGAAGACATGTTCCTCAATAATGTTCATCTTCTTTAAAATTTGTCATTGAAGAGTGGCTACCTTTACAAGTTTCCAAACAAAAACCCTTTAGCTTAATATTCAAAATTACTGAATTGGAAATATCATAATTTTTGTTGCATTGGTTTTCAAAGACATTAAGAAAACATTTCAGAGATCACAAGAGGATGACACTATTTTTTATAGTATATAATGAAGAGGAAAAAACCAGATATTTGGTGAAGACCTTAATATAATGTTTTCTTCTATTATTTATTTATTTTCATATTCTCTTACTAACCTGATTCCTGTCTTATAAAAAAAAAAAAAGAACGCACAAGTAAGACCAAATACTTAAGTTGATCGTAATATTTTTTCAAAAATAATTATTCTGCCTGATATTTTTTTATTAAGGATGTCATTTGTATAATTCTATTTAAAAAGAATAAAGGTGTTTTCAAAATGTAAAAGAAAGAGTTAGAAGCAGAACGTAATTAAGGTCTTAGTCATAAGTACTTTTATAAAAAAAAAACCCTGGTCTTGCAAAAAAATCTTTTTTTTTTATCATATCTGTTACATATTTCAAAATAAACAAAAATGTCTTTTAAACCTTGACTGTCTTTCATATACAAGGTACCAAACAAGTTAAAAAGGATACTTCTCCTTGAATGATGGTACGTAAACCTCAAACTTGTGGTACTGCATGCCTAGAAGTCTAATGTCGTCTTCATACTTACTCAGAAATTCAGTGGCAGTTACAGAGTTGCCCTTAAAAGAAATTAAAAAAAATTACTAAAAATTTGCTATATTTGACAAAACTAGTTTTCTTATAAAAAATATGAATTTCGTTATTTTGGACATAAATTCTTTCGAAAGAAGTATATTAAATAAATAACGAATATGCCCATCAACTCGCTGACAATTTTATACATGATTTTGTTTATGAAATTTATCATATTTAACAAAAAATATAAAATAAGGGTACCCGAGACAGGTATTTTCCGTGCGGACTGAGGATCTTCAAGGATAGCTCTAGAATAATGCACGTTGTTTCAAAGTCATAGGCAAACTTTGCTAAAAAAAATCAAAGACTGTTAATTATAAAAGATTGAGCCTTACTTGCATTTTCCTCAAGTGAAATTAAAGGTTTAAGTGCAATAAGTATCAATAAAATCGGACTTTTTTTTTTACACAAGAGTAAATTCGACACGAAATCGTGGCTTGTTAAAATTCCGTTTCTTATAGCATGTTTTAAGGTATTTCCACCCTTACGGTTTTAATGGTTGCAAGTACAAAAATTGAATTTAAGTCTAAATTTACCAATTATTTCCAAAAACGTATAGGTCGCCATATTATTTAAGATGGGAGACGTAAATATGTCAACATAAAAAATCGTACATTTTTTGTAAACTGCAGTATCATAATTATTATGTAGAAACTGAGTAAAATGCATAATCCTGATGCTCAAAGTTCCTAAATACTTGCTTCTTATAAGATACTTTTGAGTTGTGAAAATCAGGGAAACTATTCTACATTAGAGAAACAATAAAGAAAATGCCTGAATGAGGCTACCTGTGCAGGAGTTATTGCCCTTGTAAACATTTCTTAAAGATTGAATAATTGATTAAATAAAGGAAATATGCATTTTCAAAATTCTTTAAATTAACAATATTTATCATTACACCTATGGAATATCATTCTTCCAAAATATATTATTCCATTGGGTAGGAATTTAATTTAACAACAGTATTTGCAAAAACCTATGACATCACAGGAGGGTGGAATTACCTTAAAATTACAAAATTTTAATTTTTGTGTACTGTATAATACGTAGATCGCTATTTTAGCAAATGAAGAAACTATCATTTATACAGTGTTTTTGTGTCATTACTATTTTCTGCGTTGATTATATATTCGCTTAGGTCGTTGATAACGTAATCAAACTTCCGGCCGTCTTGTTGACATTCCTGAAGAACTTTCAAACAGTCCTCGAACTGAATCTAAAATAAAGGTAAGGTCTATAACAGGAGTTGTACATTTTATTTACAAAAATACTTTTATGTGCTTTACATTTACTGTAGAAGTACTTATTTCCGCGTGATATTAATTTACGCTATGTCCGCGGACATAAACTTTCCGCGGAAATATGTCCTAGCGTACTTAATATAAATGTATAGCATATAGTGACAGCCTAAGAAGTCCGCGTAATTTTCTACCCGCGAATTAAACAGAAATTGAGATTCCGCGGAATTATGACCCCGTGGAAAAAAGTACGTCTACAGTATATAAGAAATATTATATTTTATCATAATTTTTTATTAAACTTAGATTTCGATTAATATGCTAAATCAAAATAAAAATAATGAAAAAAATATACTCTCTCCTTAAAGGATGACAAAATGTGTTTATGTTTGAAAACAGATAATAACATCACCTTATAATTCGGTCCTTCAAAGGAATCCATCACTGATTCACAAATCTTGCGCATATGAATTCTACAGGCCAGCACAACATCTTGATCAATCTGAAGGTAAAGGTCTATATTAAATATCCAAACCTTATGAATTTGAGAATTTTAAATATTTAGAAGCTTTTGCACATCTCTTTCCTGTATGCTTAATATAATATAGTATAAGTCATTGTGCCTTACATCCATATTCTGCAAAATTGAAATTGTAGGTTTAAGTGCAATAAATATCAATATAATGGCACTATTTTTACATAAGAGTAAATGCGACACGAAATCGTGGTTTGTTATAATTCCTTTTCTTTAAATTAATATGTTTTAAATATACATAACTGTATTTTTGTACATAATTCGTAGATTGCTGAAGCAAAAGAGGAAACTATCATATATACAGTGTTTTTGTAACATTACTATTTTCTGCGTTGATTATATATTCGCTGAGGTCGTTGATGACGTAATCAAACTTCCGGCCGTCTTGTTGACATTCCTGAAGAACTTTCAAACAGTCCTCGAATTGAATCTAAAACATAGGTAAAGTCAAAAACAGGAATTATACATTTTATTCACACATTTTTTTAAAATGTGCTTTATATAAGAAAGATTATATTTTAATTTTTTTAATTGACAATGAGGTTTTATTTCACCAATTTATTTAATCAAAATAAAAATAAAAGATCTACCTTTGAAAATAGGTGACCAAATATGTTTATGTTTGAAAACAGATTAAAGTATCACCTTGAAGTTAGGTCCTTCGAATGAATCCATCACTGATTCACAAATCTTACGCATATGAGTTCTACAGGCCAGCACAACATCTTGATCAATCTGAAGGTAAAGGTCTATATTAAGTACAGCTATTTATAAGAACCAGGCAGAAATAAAAATAAGTGATTCATGATAGTGATAGATTTTTCAAAAACCCTCATATTTACATTAAGATACATCAAACTAAATACTTAATCACAGTTATAAATGGATTTTATGCACGGTTGATTAAAAAATGAATTCAATATATACTGAAACAGTCAACAATATCCATTGAAAGGTGTCTGTACCTGCAGGTGATTTTTTAAAAAAGCCCGCACTCTCATTGAATGTGAATTATAAAATATTGAACATCCAGTGTCAAAGAGTAAAAAACATTTAAAAAACCCATGGGTTATTTTAACTACGAATAGATACAGTGATTTTAAATTATGTAAAAACATGAAATTCTAGTTATCTCCCTTGGCACTCTTCTGTAAAGAAGTCGAAAATGATGCATTTCACTCTTCTGTGTAGAAGGAGATAAGAGGTTGATTTTTGTTTATTATGACTTTGAACAGGTACTTAGAGACTTATATACTTACAATAAGTAGAGATTGACATATATATTTCATCAAAAAAAGATCTTTATGGACAACCATTTGTCCTGTAGTTTTTCTTTTTTGTCTGAGTGTGGAGTTTCACCTCATTGTCCAGAAGAAAACAATTTGATTCTTATAAAAAACTGCAACAAAGACATTACAAACCATCTTAAATTTTTAAATATTGGAAATATAGCATCAGAGGGGTATTTAATATGCCTCCGAGCTGGCATTTTTACCACGGCCGAGGATTATTTAATCTGTCCCTTCCACCGATACTCCCTTGGTGTAAGATGGAGGAAGAAAACTTCGTGCTCACACCCAAGGCACAATTCAAAGGCCAAAGCCGAGGTCGGGAGGAGCATTACAGTTTCAATGTCAAGGCACTTCTATACAGTGTATGGAAGTGTCATTCCTGTTGGCTCAGGTAATACATTACATCCCTTAATTGTAACATTAAACATCTAATAAAATGCTTATATTGTTTGTTCACACTCCACATGTTCCATGTAAAAATTATTGAATCTACAGGGATTTTCTACTGCCCCGTATAGCATAGGGGCTTGTCTTCCGGATTGATAAATGTAAAATATTTTTTTTAAATCTGTATCTACATTAAATACACTCTAAAAGTTCCTTTGATAAAGATTCTGAAATGATCAGGCGAGAAAAATAATGTTTTTAAAAATAGCATTACATCTATATACTTAAACTCTCAAGGTGCAGTACTTTATTTAAACATTATTTTTCTCGCCTGATCATGACAGAATCTTTAATAAAGCAACTTTTAGAGGGAGTGTATTTTATGAAGATACAGATTTTTTAAGAATTATTTTACATTTATCAATCAGGAAGGCAAGCCCCTATGCCGTATAAGGCCATTCCCATTTTCAAATTTCCTTTATTTACATCAAATGTCACCTGTCTGGTGCCTCTTGACAATTGGCCTTGTATCGATGCTGACACCTGTCTTGTATAAACTAGCCAAGTGACTAATATACACTTACACAGTATTGATGAACTGTAATGACTTAATATACTACATTTGTGACTGCGTATTGATATTCTCTCTTATGCAGTCAGTTACCTAGTAAATATGCTCTGTCTAGGTCAATTAGCAATTATTATGTTTCAGCATTGCGTTTTGAAAAAATATGATGTAATCAAACTAACAAGTAATTAATCAGCCCCCAATTGCAAGTAGTATAGTCCTGCCTCTTGAATTACAACTTAATCAAAATTCTCAAATTTTCGGATGTAGTATTAACAAAATATAACAAACTACCTTTCTCTTGACAACACAATTCTTATTTTTCTAACACAACATAATTCATTTATATTTCTTGTATATAACATATGATCCCTATTTTTGAAATTGTCACCTGAAAATATTACTTATGTTTCTATTTAATTTCTTTTCCTAAATTCTTATGATCATTTTACATATCTTTTTATTGACTAGGGGATTTTCATTGAAAGTAGATATAGTGATAAATTATATCTAAATTAACATGTTACTCTAGATGTCCTTTACATTTTATTTTAATAGGTTTATGCAGTAAATGCCGTAAAAACCTAAGTGATGAAATGAAATCATTTGAGGTAAGATTTACAAATGGCAAAATATTAAATACTGATTATATCTTTTTCAAAGCCTTTTCTGTTAAATTAAAATCTAAATAAAGTCTGCAAAGTAAAAATTACCTGGGTTTAATAAAAACTTAATAGATCCATTGGATAATCATGTTTGAAAATGCAAACATGTATAAATTTACAATTTGTTACAGAAAAAATTCAAACATTGATCAATTACATTTTATATACATTTCATACTTGAACACAAATTGCATCTGTAGAAAGGAAATCTAATAAGTGTCCATGCAGTCAACATGCCCTTGTATGTAGCATGTTCATCTATGCCTGTAGCCTTGAATTCAGCATATAATGATATAAGTTATATACACCATGTACCACGTACTAGTCTAAATTACAGCAGTTAGTTATAAATAATATATTTGCATGTATTATATATGTACTCTCCCAAGTAGTAAGTCAAATTATACCAGTTCATTACATGAACAGCATTCATGGATCTGAATTCTCTTCTTCAACAATTTTCAAACTCAGCATAGAATGTGGAAATACCATGCAATGATTTAATATAGTGTACTTTCATGTAAATTAGTTGAATCTGACAACACAAACCTTTTTTAAAAAACACTATAAGTATAATATAATAAATACTGCATGTATTATAACCTCTGTTTACAGTGGTTTTCTTAAAATTAAAATTTTCAATGTTACACTCTCAACTACATGTAATATTTATATAATGTACTGTTCTGCTGTAAAATGACCTAAAATATATTTATGATATAATGTTGTCAAAAAGAAAAATTGCTTCTAACTCCAAAAAGGCCCAGAATGACACAGCTGTGGAAAATACATGTACCAAAATTTTATTGAAATACTGGATTTTTAGGTCAACTCAGGTGACCTATTGCTATCTGATTATTGTCCACAAAAAGCATCGACTTGTTAACATTTGAACATTTCAGCTCCTTTCTTTTAACACTGAAAATATTACAATTTGGCATATAGCATTCTTGGATGAATTGAACAAAAAATTGTGAATTTCATGGTCTTTGCCCCCCCCCCTCCCCCTTGACTGGGGGGGGGGGAACCCACTAAAATAAATGCTGCTAAATGGGCTTTTAATAAACTAACCAAGCACATGGCTGCCTTTACAAAATTTTGAATTTCATAGGCCCCAGGGTAGGGGTTCTAGTGCTAATGGCTATAAAGATTATATAGTGAAAATGCATAAATGCTTTGAAATTCTTTTTTCTCTGCTCATAGGCATTAAATAAATGTCTAACCAAGTACATAGTTATGTGGAATAAGGATTATATCCAAATTTTTGAATTTCATGGCCCTTTCAGTGTTCTAGTTAAAATGGGCTATGAAGATTATATAGTGAAATGCAATTTTTTTAGGTTTTCTTTTCTGCTCCTGGGCATTAAATAAACTGAAAATACAAGTAATGTTATAAATTCTCTCAAAATTGTGAATTTCAATCAACAACATGATCAAATAAAATTTATATAAATTTCCTAAATTTTGAACACAAATTGCATCTGATCAGTGGTTCAATCCTGTTGGATGGGGTGCACAACTAATGAAGTTAAAATGCATTTTCTATATGTTACTCTGATCTACGTCTGAGTATAAAGTAACTTGAAGTAAGCATGCTAAGTGTATAGATATATAAGCAATGATGCCCCATTCAAAATTGTAAATTTCATGGCATTTAACACAAATCAAATATTGTTTGAAAGTTGTATATATGATACTCTCCCAAGAGGCCCACGGGCCTCTTGTTAAAGTAAAGTAAAACATTTAAATATCAATTTACTTCTCAATTTTCATTTCATATTCAAATATTAATCAAATCTTATATTTTCATGTAAAATATGGTAATGGCTTGTAGGATAGGATATCAATACATGCAATTTAAATTCTGTGTGAGGATAATACCTTTGCATACCAAATACAAATGAGGAAATATAATAAAAATCTGATTTTCTTTCTTCATTTTCATTTTGAGTTTATTATTTACAATAAATATCCTGAATACATTAAAGAAATACCATTTCAATTAAAAATGTAATTTTTTATAACGAGTTGTTTTGTTCATTTATATACAA